ACTTAAAAGTATTAACAAATATCAGGCAAATATATATTTGTGACTTTTTTTCCTGTGACTTTTTTCTGTGTGATTTTTCCTGTGGTTTTTTTTCCTGTGGCTTTTTTTTCTACAATCGTGATAGATATGGTATGTTGTGGTGTGGTGTGGTTTATCATTGTGTGTGGTGTGGTATGGTGTATCATTGTGTGTGGTGTGGTGCGGTGTGTATTCTTGTGTATGTTGTGTGTGAGTAGTGTGTGTTTGTTGATTGTGCTACACATGGACTGAAAACCAAAATGAAAATAAACCGGGAGTGATCTACCCTAAACTTTCTCGAATTTTCTTGAATAACACTACGGGGATGGCAACTCAGAATATAGACATGATTTTTAATCAAATTTTTAATTACTTACATTTTTAAAAAAAGAATAGAATCTCCTAGAAAAAAGTATTGCGCACCAAGTAAACGTCAAACAATATGTGTATAATAATGCGGAATATTATTAGTACTTTATAAATTGACATGCGTTTTTTTTGAGAAATCGGAAATAGCGTAAATTACTACTTCCGGTCAACGGAAATTACTAAAAATTTGAAAATAGGCAGAGAATTAGATATTTTAATTATTATTGAAATTTCGTTGATCTATCTGTAATAGTACTTAAGTTATAGGCTTTTGAAATACCATTAGTAGAATAAGCTCCACTTCCGGTTATCGGAAATCGCTGAAAAGTTGACACAGAACTACAAATTTGATATAATACTTGTATATGAAATTTCATCAACCTAGCTGTAACGGTACTTAAGTTATGATGTTCACAGACACAACACACACAGACATACGGACAAAATTGCAAAGCCTAGTTTCTCCGACTCGATTACACATAGAACGCTGAAATTTTGATGAATCTGCATTTATTATTTGCCCGATCAAAATAAGTCCACTAATACTCCGTATATGATAAAGTACTGAGGTGTAAAACGATGAAAACTGTCAAAATTGCATAAGATTTTTTGGCACGATTACAAAACTTCCTCTGTTTCCTCTATACTCTGTATACGAGAAAGTAATAATAAAATGAATGTCTCGATATAAATAATAAGCCACTATTAAAATAACTGAAAAGAATGCTTGGGTCGCTCCATTATGTGGTAAATATCCTTATTAATGTAAGCCCTGCTAGGGGGGGATATCTTAAAATCTATCCTTCTAGGCTTATCTAACTAACTACTGTCCGGTCAGTGCAAGCCCGGATAAACCCAGACTGGTTAATAACCTAACCTTAGTCTAAATAATAAAACTATTAAAAATAAAACAAAAACTTAAACAATATAATAAAATTTATTTAACAAAATAATAAATATGGAACCAAAAGTTATTATAAAAAAAACCAGAATCTAGATCTAGACAAAACACTCAAGACATAGATCTACAAAACAAACAGAACTCAACGAAACAAAACACCCAATTTCGGACCACCGTCCTAGAAAGAGGAAAAATAAGACAAATCAATTTAAAATGTAAAAAAAGTCATACACAAGGCAGTAAGCTGACACAATTGTCAGCCTAAACAAGAGGCTCTCATAAATGAAAGTAAAATCTACAATAATCCATGACTAAACCCAGGCCATCGTGCTACCACGTGGTCTGGATAAAACAAACATTGAAACTTCTCAAAGTCAAGACTAAGTAGATCTAGTAAATAGTCACTTTGTATACAAAATAAGCAACCAAAAATATGGAAAACATAATAAAACACTATAAAAATAACCCTACGTTACCATACACCACATAAACGTGACACAGAAACTCTTCAACACACAGGCCTCGACATTCCAGCAGAATGTCCCTCCATGTCGACACACCACATTCACGAACAAAGAAACCAATACTACGAACAAAGAAACCAATGCTACGCACAAGAAAATAGTCCCTAATACAATAATAAGTAACATTCAGGACATAAAGCAAAGTGGAGCAACAATTCAAAACAAAGTTTGCATAAATAATAACATTAAAATATAAACAAGACACAATAACCAGGCTACAAACCATTGTAAAATCGAAATCATATCAGCGCCATAATAGCGGACTACTTAACTAAAAACCACAACAATCCTCAAAGGAACATAAAAAGCGACATTCGCCTTCTTAGTTACAAATAATTATAATAACAGACAAACACACTCCAGCCGCTCACATACACGCCCCTTAAAGCTTGCGGTCACCGCAAGCTAACAAACCTGAAAAAAAATCAGCCCACAGGGCACAATCATAAATTTTACAAAAAACAAAATTTTGCAAAAAAATCAGACGATGTGGCTGTAGCAGCCGGCGGTACAACTTTGACCGGCCTTGGGGAGGGCGGTTGAGCCTTGGGAGGCACATATCTCCTAATCTGTGTGCTGGCCACCCGGCGGGTGCCAGAAGGGCCATCTTTCTTTTTAATGGCGTAACCCCCGCCGGTGATCGAAGGTAATTCGACCACGACATAAACTGTCGGGCCGTCCAGGTCTGCCATTTTGCGTCTGCCTAGTGGGGGTTGTCTCAGAAGGACCAGATCGCCTATGGCAGTTCAGCTACAGGTGCCTTTTTGACCTGTTTGTCCTTCTTGCTTGACTCTGTCTGGGGGCATGCCCCAGCACCACCACCCGGTACCTTAATTAAGGATGGGTTAGGTGGAACCATTGCCTCTAGTTCCTCAGATTGGTCCACCTTTACACTGGTTATGCTGGCGCGTAGGCAGGATGTTGGGCCTGATACCACTGACGGATCTGGGTGAAAAGGTTGGTCTAATGGCTGTACCACCTTGTCCTTCATTCTGGGGTCTCCTTCCGTCGCCTGAATGGTTGGTACACCCTTGGCAGGCACCAGAGTCCTTTCGCGGGGGCGGAGGACCTTGTCCCCTCGCCATACCTTCGGTGTCACTTGATTCCTTTTGGGCACATATTTCTTTGCCATATGGCAATGACGGGCGAGGTGACCCCTCTGGTGACAGTTATAGCAGCCCTTTGATTGGACCTCCGTGCGCTTGCGAGGTGCTTGGCGCACATTGGACAATTTGGTGTCCCGCGTAAAGTGCTTCAGCAGAGCAGCAAGCTGCTCGGTGAGCCTGTTGACTTTGTCCTCCAGCTTGGACCTGAACGAACATTTTTCAATGGGCCTGGCATTTATTGCTGCCACGTAGGCAGGTTCAGCAAGAGGGTCCTCGTCTCCAGACCATCGAATGGCCGCATCCCGTATGGCCAGGAAGGGGATCTTAGGGTCCCGGAAAATCAGCTCGTGCAGATGGCGCCTGACTGTGGCCTGGCTCAGGTTTTCCACAAACTGGTCTCGAAGAAACCCTGCATCAGTCTGTGGGACCTGCAGGGCACTCTGCCTCGTAACCAGGGTCTTGAAGGCCCTGTGCAGTCGGTGCGAGTAGGCCCTCACCGACTCGTGTTGGCCCTGTACAACCATCTGAAACTGGGCCATGAGCTGCGGTACTCTCCTCTTCTCGCCGTACACCTCTCTGAGGAGCCTGAGGGTGGCTTCTGGGTCATGCTGCAGGTCATCACCCCTGCAGCTCAGCTCCTCTCTCACCGCTTCCCCCAGGTACTGCCAGAGGAGGTCCTTCCTCTCTTCTACTGAGAGGTTTCCCCTGGCCCTCCAGAGGGACTGGACCTCTTTGATGAACCGGTCCACCTCATAGCCATGGCTGTCCCCATGGAACCTCCGGATTAGGATCTCCCTGGGTGGAACGATGCTGATGGTTGGTGCCACCTCCGCCATCTCGTCCGAATTGGGTGTTTTAAACAACAAACGGTTCCTACACTAAACAAAAACTAAACACAAATGGTTCCATAAAGGGCCTATCAAGAAAAAAATTTATCTAAACTAACCTAGTCCTAACAGAAAAACAAAAATTGAACTAGACTAAAGCACTGACCCCACTCGTGCTACCAATTTGTAAGCCCTGCTAGGGGGGGGGGATATCTTAAAATCTATCCTTCTAGGCTTATCTAACTAACTACTGTCCGGTCAGTGCAAGCCCGGATAAACCCAGACTGGTTAATAACCTAACCTTAGTCTAAATAATAAAACTATTAAAAATAAAACAAAAACTTAAACAATATAATAAAATTTATTTAACAAAATAATAAATATGGAACCAAAAGTTATTATAAAAAAAAAACAGAATCTAGATCTAGACAAAACACTCAAGACATAGATCTACAAAACAAACAGAACTCAACGAAACAAAACACCCAATTTCGGACCACCGTCCTAGAAAGAGGAAAAATAAGACAAATCAATTTAAAATGTAAAAAAAGTCATACACAAGGCAGTAAGCTGACACAATTGTCAGCCTAAACAAGAGGCTCTCATAAATGAAAGTAAAATCTACAATAATCCATGACTAAACCCAGGCCATCGTGCTACCACGTGGTCTGGATAAAACAAACATTGAAACTTCTCAAAGTCAAGACTAAGTAGATCTAGTAAATAGTCACTTTGTATACAAAATAAGCAACCAAAAATATGGAAAACATAATAAAACACTATAAAAATAACCCTACGTTACCATACACCACATAAACGTGACACAGAAACTCTTCAACACACAGGCCTCGACATTCCAGCAGAATGTCCCTCCATGTCGACACACCACATTCACGAACAAAGAAACCAATACTACGAACAAAGAAACCAATGCTACGCACAAGAAAATAGTCCCTAATACAATAATAAGTAACATTCAGGACATAAAGCAAAGTGGAGCAACAATTCAAAACAAAGTTTGCATAAATAATAACATTAAAATATAAACAAGACACAATAACCAGGCTACAAACCATTGTAAAATCGAAATCATATCAGCGCCATAATAGCGGACTACTTAACTAAAAACCACAACAATCCTCAAAGGAACATAAAAAGCGACATTCGCCTTCTTAGTTACAAATAATTATAATAACAGACAAACACACTCCAGCCGCTCACATTAAATTTAAAGTTTCTATTCTTGTATCTGTAGGTCGGGTAGAGGGTCAGTCGATGTTTATCTTCAACCTTTCATCCCTGAAGCCCAGCGAAGATCTGCTCGCTGCCGAAATTCACATGTTTAGACGAAGGCCCGGGGTGTCAGGCCTGGAGCTGGTTCTCCAAAAGGTGGCGCCCCCTCACGTGAGCGAGCTGGAGCAGATCGCAGCCTCCGCCTGTGGCTGGCACAGGTATGACGTCACGTGCGCGGTAAAGAGACTGCTGGGGGCGCAATACCCTCCACCCCATCTGCTTGGTCTGAGCTTCAGGCAGCAAAGAATGGGCGGCACCCCAGACGTCGTGCCGGTCAGACAGTTTGTCAGACGACACTCCATGCCTTTCCTGGTCCTCTATTCGAACGAGACAGAGGGCGTGCGGCTCACCCAGATTGACCTCCTGGCCCAGCGTCTGCTCACCATAACTAACGGCACATTGGAAGTGACTGGAACACCAGTTGACGTCGCCGCTGAACTGGGTTACCGTGACCTCCCCAATGTGGCGCCGATAGGCCATGACGTCACACGCTCACATTTCCATGGCAAATCTCATTGGACAAATGTGCGAGAGAAAAGATCCACCTTGACCAACGAGATCCCAGAAGATTCTGCACCGGCCTACGAGCAAAAGCAGCAAATACACAAGACTCACCCGAGCAATCTACGAGCCCGGAGGAAGAGCCGCCGCCACAAGGGACAGTCCAATGTTTTACCTCTGTATGGTCACTCTCATGGGGCGCCCCACAGGAAGAACCGGCACCGCCACAAGGACAGCTCAAGAAAACTTGGATCCCCCACAGCCCCGGCCCACGACATGCGGGGTGATGTGTGCGGACGGAAAATGCTGGTGGTGGATTTTGCTGACATCGGATGGGGAGACTGGATCATCTCGCCAAAATCATTCGAGGCTCATTACTGCGCTGGGAGCTGTCCGTTCCCGCTAACTAAGGTGAGTTTAGTGACAAAACGTAGCTAGATCTGAGGGGCTACCTTTTGCAAGAGATGCTACCTCTAACAAGAGATGCTACCTCTAACAAGAGATGCTACCTCTAACAAGAGATGCTACCTCTAACAAGAGATGCTACCTCTAACAAGAGATGCTACCTCTAACAAGAGATGCTACCTCTAACAAGAGATGCTACCTCTAACAAGAGATGCTACCTCTAACAAGAGATGCTACCTCTAACAAGAGATGCTACCTCTAACAAGAGATGCTACCTCTAACAAGAGATGCTACCTCTAACAAGAGATGCTACCTCTAACAAGAGATGCTACCTCTAACAAGAGATGCTACCTCTAACAAGAGATGCTACCTCTCACTAGAGATACTACCTCTAACAGGGGAGGGGGGGGCGTCAAATTGAAATTTGTCCCCGGGCGCCGGGAAAGATCGCTACGCCTCTATCAGATAGATAAGCGAAATTTCACATATAAGTAAAGATCTAATTTCCTGCCTTCTATTAAATTTTGTGAATTTTCCGTTGATCGGAAGTAGCACTTTAGCCCTATTTCCGATTTCTCAAAAAACTCGTATAAATTTATAAAGTACTATTATTCCGAACTATGATACACATATAATGGGGTCGGCGTGGTCGAGTCGTTAAAGCTCATGGTTGCTAAACCAAAAAGACTGGGGACAGCCACTCTTCTAGGAGAGACAACTTCAAAATCAAAAAACTGTTGCCTTTGTAGTTTGTTCTTCGCTGGACAAAGGCTATGGAAGCAAATTCAAAAAGAAAAAGCGGGCTGAAATCGGAGTCAATGGTCTCAATGGCACATAACCAATTGACACGTATACTTAATTGTGCTGGAGGTGTTCCCTTCCAACAACAAAATTAAGAACGAAGAAGAAGAAGATACACATATTGTTTCCTGTTCACTTGGTGCACACTTTTTTTTTACAAGATTCTATTAATTTTTTTTAAAGTATGTAATTAAAAAGCATGTTTATGTCCTGAGTGGCTATCCCCGTATATAAGAATATACGAGAAAGTTTAGGGGGAGGCCACTCACGTTTTATTTTTTTCAGTACTTTAAAAACTTTAATACAGCAGAGTTGCATGACTAAAAACTCTTGCGCACCGAATAGTGCGGAGTAGTAGTAGTGAGAGGAATTAATTAGGCATCCAATTATGTCAATTTTAATTTCAAATTGCACTGTCTTTAAGTCTTGACCGAATTTGAGAGAAATTGGTTGGTTAGAAGTGCTCGAAATTTCGCTTAACCGCTTTGATCTATGATGACAGACTGAAGGCAGAGGAAGCAAGGCATATAAGAGTTTGTAATAAAAACGTTTTAATAAGAAGCTTGTATGTAATAATGCACTAAAAAGGAGAAAACAAATTATCTTCTTTAAATATATAATAATGAACTACTCCCCATGAACCTCCGCCCCTGTGTGTGCTCCCCATGAGCCTCCGCCCCTGTGTGTGCTCCCCATGAGCCTCCGCCCCTGTGTGTGCTCCCCATGAACCTCCGCCTCTGTGTGTGCTCCCCATGAACCTCCGCCCCTGTGTGTGCTCCCCATGAACCTCCGCCCCTGTGTGTGCTCCCCATGAACCTCCGCCCCTGTGTGTGCTCCCCATGAACCTCCGCCCCTGTGTGTGCTCCCCATGAACCTCCGCCCCTGTGTGTGCTCCCCATGAACCTCCGCCCCTGTGTGTGCTCCCCATGAACCTCCGCCCCTGTGTGTGTGTGCTCCCCATGAACCTCCGCCCCTGTGTGTGTGTGCTCCCCATGAACCTCCGCCCTGTGTGTGTGTGCTCCCCATGAACCTCCGCCCCTGTGTGTGCTCCCCATGAGCCTCCGCCCCTGCGTAGATTGTTTGATTTGTTCCTGTTGAACGTCGCCAACCACTTGAAGGCCTCTTATCGTCGTCTCGGACTAGACCGGGGCCGGGGCCGGGGCTTACAATAATACCGCGGCGACTGGCGGGAGGAGGGAGACGAATGTAAACAGAAAGTAACTCCCGCGTCGGCGAGGCGGCTGTAAGCACAGACAAACAGAACGAGACGCACGTCCCCCCACCCCCCCACCCCCGCCCCTCTGTTGACTGACGGTCGGCTGTTAGTACTGCGGAGGTCGGCGTTGTATTGACATTTCTAATTTACATCGGCAATAAAGCCAGCGACCGCCGCCGTTCACGCGAGTTTTATTGCCAGTCGTCTCCCCTCCTGCAGACACTTATTGCCTTTGCTTATTATTTCCCTTTCCAGCATAAATTATAACGTAAAAGACTTTGAGGGAGTGTCGACAAAAACTCGGTGGGGAAATGTTGGTACATCTATTCAAAGTCGCCTTGTTGTACTTTGGATTTATAGATAACGTATTCAAGGACTTGCGTCAAATTAGATCTATTAACAAAAGCATAACAACACTATATGAATGATATTAACCAGTGGCGTACCTAGGATTTTGGGTCTTATGCAAAAATTACCAGTGGGGCCCCTTCGTCAGACGTTAGGCTACAACAGAGTTAAACATGGACAGCGAAGAGATCGACTGCCCCTTACTACGGAGAGGTTTTAAAGAATATAAACAGAGTTTCTTCCAGGCATCTCTTTGGGGGACGGGACAGAACCACCCCCCCCCCCCCCCCGTCCAATGTAGAGGTCCAGCATGCCCCTAGTGTAAGGTGTTCTACTGCTTTGTGTCAACCACGGGCGTAAGAAGCCATCCCTCTTGCATTTTGACCTTCCCGATGACCACGGAATGCTAAATGATGTGTATACAGTACTAGCGTACCCGTTGTTGAGATCTATTACTACATACCAGGGTTGCGATCCATATTTTTATAATGGTTTCATCAATGTGTTACGAATTGTGTATTTCCAGACGTTAGACCTTCTTTTCTAAAAACTTAGATGATTAAAATATTATTAACGAAACCGGCACTGTATTTCTCGGAACCAATGGTTGCTGGGGTGCGGATTTGTTAACACTACCGCATAGACGCCCCAGGGCGTGCTGAATGAAAATCTCGATCGTAGGTTAATCACCAACCGTTAATAGTCAAGTTGAACATCTCTCAGCGACCGCCAGATGTTAGGGTTCGCAGGGGGTGAACGGAAAAAAGTCACAGGAAAAAAAACAGAAATAAAGTCACAGAAAAAAAGTCACACAAACCTTTTTAGAAATATTTTGATTTATTTGTTAAGAATTGTAAAATTTTGTATGTTTACTGTTGTGGGTTGTATTTTTTTATAGTTTAAATTATTTATAAACGTTAAAAGCATTATGGTTTATAAAAATTGTAAGTAAAAATACTCTAAGATAATTTACACAACAATCTCAACTTTTGTCACGTATTTGGTTAAATACGCGAAAGAAAAGTTAACTATCAAAGAAATTTAGGCACATCATTGTGTTTTGCATATGTTTTGCCGTAGGCTGTTCTCTTGTCGTCCTTCCCTCAGTAGGCATTGTCCGAACGTATTTTGTGTTGTTGACGTTTTGTGTCAATGACAGCCTTTGAACCTTGTCGGCTCTCTGTTTTGATCCTAAGGTTTGTTATGTAATGAGCGTGATAAATGTGGACAGTAAAGGTGGTTGAACTAAGCATAACTGTTGTTGCGATGACTTGAGGGCAGTAATTCAGATGACCTTACCATTTCACGGTAATTTAATTTTTAAAAAAAAAACACGATAAAAACCGTGGACATTCTATTAAATGCTATAAATATTATGTTTAACATAATTACAATCTACATAATTCATACTAAATATTTTAGATGAATTATAAAAATTACTATGCGTATACAACCTACACACATTACATTACATTTAATTAATCCTAAGTTAATTTGCACTTTCTGAATATATAATTCATAAAAGTATTAACAAATCCCATGCAAATATATATTTGTGACTTTTTTCCTGTGACTTTTTTTCCTACAATCGTCGCAGGGGTGACCGGTTACACGAACGCAGGGAGCCGGGGGCAAACATTTTGTGAGGGTGCTCTTTAAAACAAAAATGTAGTGCATTGTTGTTTGATATCATCTGTTCGCAGGGGGGCGCCTAATGCGGCTCCTGTTGCAGTTTTACAGCTGAATCAAGTGATACCTGCAGGATGCCCAATCAACGGATCACATACACTCTGGTAGTCGATTTAGTCATCGGTCATTTGTAGTATCCCCCCATATCCCTAGTTTATACGCCGTAGTGCCCAAAAGGGAACCCGGGGCGCACAGGGTCACATGAACGCAGTGGAACCGGCCGATGCACCTGTGCAGTTTGACAGTTGAATCAAGTAACATCACTGACCTAGTGTACTGGACGCCCAATCAACGGGTCTACGACAAATTCCCGAAAGACACTTGCCCGAAGGCCGATTTCCCGAATAGACACTTGCCCGAATGCGACAAATGCTCGAATGGACACTTGCCCGAATGCGACAAATGCCCGAATGGACACTTGCCCGAATGCGACAAATGCCCGAATGGACACTTGCCCGAATGCGACAAATGCCCGGATGGACACTTGCCCGAATGCGACAAATTTTTTGCCCGATTAAAATAAGTACCCTATACTCCGTATATGATGAAGTACTGAGGTGTAAAACAGTAAAAACTGTCACAATTTCGTGTGATTTTTGTGCACGATTACAATACTTTCTCTATACCCTGTATACGAGAAAGTAAAAACCGACAATTTTTGGACTTGGGTAGTCTGTTTATAAGTAAATGGCTTTATTGTATTCATGGATGTTTAGGGCACTGGAATTTTGTCGAGGGCAGACAGGTGAGGGGGTGGGGGGGGAGGCAGGTACGTGTGGGTGGGAATTTTTCAGTCAGTTGAGGTCTGTAACAATGCGTGTAAATCTAAGGGTACCGGATATAGTTTCTTACAAAAGAGTCAAAGTTTTTCATGACATGTCAGGACCGCCATCTCAGGAAAAGTACGATTCGTGTCTGTAATATATTAAGGTGTCAGTTACGTAACGGCCAG